GTTTCAGCTGTTCAGACAGCTCAGCCACAATATGTTGCCTCAAATTGTTTTGTTAAGCACATGCATCAGCTGTACTTCTTTGCCTTGAAGCTATGAGAACCACAGACCCTCCTGAGAAAATTCAGTTTCTACACAGACATAGAGCTTGACAATGCTCTCAAATGTACCCCGCCACACGAGGCAGGGAGCTGCAAACCTGCACGGCCCATGGAGCTCTTTAGATACACGATTATGTCATTAGGACTCCCAAAGCCTCAATATTTGGAAGCTGAAGCCAGAAGGTCTGGAGAGGCTAGAGCTGGAGAGGTTTGGTGATGGGTGCTGAAATGTGCAGAAGCTCCAGGATGTGTGCTGAGACCCACGGTGGCTCTGCGATGGGTGCTGAGAACCACGGTGGCTCTGGAGTGAGTGGCAAGACCCATGGTGGCTCTGGGATGGCTGCTGAGACCCATGGTGGTTTGGGATGCAGGAGCTGATGCCAGAGTGAGTCAGGGACATACAGTGGGATGCAGTCCCCGCGCAGCTGTGCTTCCACTGTGAGCCAATGAAGTGTTTCTGTGGGTGCACGAGCATGGGGGTTATGGCAGGGGCTGTTTTTGGCTGGCGCGTGCCAAGGGAGATGCAGCTCTGGTAAGTGCAGCAGCAGGCCTTTGCAATGCCAGTTATCCCTGGACCTGTGGGCTTTCAGGTTCTCGGGACCTTAACCCTAATCCTAAGAGTTCTGGCCCCAGTAACCAGCACAGGCCCGTCTGGATTCTGGCTATGAAAGCTGGGGAGGGAGCAATGTCAGTGCAGTGTTGTGCTCCTCTTGGCAGGCCTTTGCAATCCCAATTATCCCTGGACCTGTGGGCTTTCTGGTTCTTGGGACTTTAACCCTAACCCTGTCCCTAAAAATCTCCGGCCGCAGTTTCTGGCCATGGCCCCGCTGGGTTCTGGCTGTGAAAATTGGGGAGGGAGCAATGTCAGTGCAGTGCTCTGGTCCTTTTGGTAGGCCTTTGTAATCCCAATTATCCCTGGACGTGTGGGCTTTCTGGTTCTCCGGACCCTAACCCTAACCTTATCCCTAATTATTGCTAGTCGCAGCTCATGGTACAAGCCCCCTTGGGTTCTGGCTATGAAAGCTGGGGGAGGGAGTAATGTCAGTGCAGTGCCATGATCCTCTTGGCAGGCCTTCGCAATCCAATTATCCCTGGACAGTTGGGATTGCAATTGAATTATCCCCATGCTGGGGTGTTGTCACAAAGCCAGGAGGCGGGCAGGGTCGTGTTACCTGGCAGTCAGCCCAACGCTGAGTGTTGGAGCAAAGGTGTGACACCGCACTGCTTAGAGGTAAAGAAAGAACAAAACTCTTCTGTCTGACAGTGAGAGCGCCATTGCCCCTCTATTTAATTTTCCTGCACTAAATGCTGGATTCTGGCGGGAGCGATGCTGCACCTGCTTTCCTCCTCCCAGGCTGCGAGCGCGGATGCTGACACCCAGTGGCCATGGAGCTTCCAGCGCCTGCACGAGATGGAAAACCAGCACTCGGGCGGTGAGATACACCTCCCACCTTTTCATTTCCCCAAGGGTAAGAGGATCAAAGAGCTCCTGAGATATGCCAGCTTTGCTTTATTTGCTTTATAGCCCCTAGCAGGTGCTTCAAAATCTTGTATTCAGAGGCCAGTCAGAAAAATGAAAAATAATAAGGATGGATAATGAGAAAACAGAAGGTAAACTGGTTTTCAAATTCTTCTTGTGTTGGCAGCTTGAAAATAGATCTCAGTGAGAGACGGGGGCTGATTTTGTGAGCGCAGAGACTCTGGTGACCTTGGCATTCGCCTTCCCTGTTTTGCTATATCCCAAAAGCAGTTAGAAAATGACAGACTCAGATTGATTTTGCATTTTCCTGCGGCATGCACAGGATCGTGTTTTCATGTGTTTGACAAGTATTGACATTCTCTAGGGAAAATCTCTGTAGGAAAGGTTGCTCAGCAAATGGCTCTAAGACTTTATCAGTCAGGGATTTAAAAAAAAGACCCTAAACTCAAGGATATGCAAAGGAGTTCTCTTTGTGTGTTTGGCAAAGACGTGCCTCACCAGACGTGTGGGGCTGCAACGGTAAAAACACCGGGAAACACAGACAGGAGCTGGGAACAATAAGAGCGGAGTATGCCAAAGGAGGGATTTTGAAAACGCTTTACTGAAAATATTAATTATGGACTACAGCAAATGAATTAAACCACTGTAATTCAAATACTGTGTGAAAGAAATACGTAATTAGTGTAATTCTACAAACATAGGGAGGAAAAAAGCCTACTGCTGAAATTCTAGCAAGGTTCGGGATGTGAGGAAGGACCTGCAGCTGGCCAACTATTAGGATTAAATTTTGCCCATGCTGCAGATGTGCTGCTGTGAGAAAGCAGGTGGGGAGGTGTCTTGCTGCAGCAAGGACCCTCTGTGGGGGTGAATTTGGTGAGTGGGGAGCCCCATGCCGGGGCCAAGCCCAGCTTTCCTTACCTACTCCTGTAAAGCTGCACCATACAGATTCCGTAAGTAGATGCACTTAATTTATCGCTCTGTTACCAGGCAGGTTTCTAGGCAGGTTCAGCCTTTTTTACACTTTGTGATTACTAAAATAACTCTGATCTTTTCTGGGGTGAGTTCCGGTTGTGGAGGTACAACATCCATCCCTTCACCACCTCTCACCTGCTCTCATTCTCCTTAATTCTTCTTCCCTTCTTACCTCTTTCTGGACAAAATTAGACTAAAAACCTTAACCCAACTTAAACCCACCCAGCAGGCTGGGGTTGGCGCACTATTTGGCTCACTCGGAATGGCTGTGCCTGGTGTTCCCGGGTGATGTACTGGGTGAGATTGCATCAGGTGTACCCAGGGCAGCAAGGTGGGCTGCAGCTGCCTGTCTTGCTTTTCCCCAGGGGGGGTTCACAATGTTCTCCTGTTCTTTTAGTAGATGTATAAAGTTTAAGAGGCTGGCAGAACATCAGAGGCCTACCACAAGTTACTTTCAGTACCAAATCTCAATGGGACTCTCTCCAATAGTTTTCTCTAGTGCTTTAATGCAGGAACTATTGCGCTGGTGACAGTTCTGAAAACCCATAACCCAAACGCTACCCAGTTCTGGATGGGCCAAAGTCCTCTAGCTCCTGAATGTACCCCAAAACCCTGAAACGATCTTGGCTGAGCATCTCTGCTCACCCTGGTCTTGCAGAGCAGGAGATCCAGGCTTGGTCCTCCCAGAACTCTCCGGCCCTGGTTTCCCACATATCTGCAGAGAGCTGCAGGCAGCCCAGCCTCCAGAGCAAAAGTATTTGTGCTGTGCCATCCAGGGATAGTCATGGTGTAGGGATGTGCCCCTTGTTCCTGCAAAAATCCTGCTGGAGACCAGAGAGGGAAGGAAGGGGCTCTGCAGCTGGCAGGAGGGCACCAAGAGCTGCTCTCTCCCACCGCATAAAGGAGGAAATGCTTCTGAGCCTCCTGCATCTGGCCTGTTGTATGAACCCTGCATTCCCTGGAATTCCTCCAATGAGCATGTTTTGGAGATGTTTGCAGGCCAGGTCTCCTTGAGCTGGGGCTGGGGGCTGCTTCTGGGCCAAGCCAGCTTTATTCCTGCTTCCTTCCCTCACTCGTGGTCCCTTTCACCTTCTCTGCTAACTCAGTCAGTGCCTTGCTAATCCAGCTCCCGTCTCCATTTCTAATGTGTTGCATTCATCAAGGGAAAACGTGGTATTTCATTGCCCGTTGCATGCTCATGGGTATTTTTAAACATAAACCCATCCCATGCTGGCTGGGCAGAAACCCCAGGAGACAGTACAGGCAGAGGTTGTGTCTCAGCAACAGCCGGGAAGCTTCACTTCTGCTCCAGCCTGTGCATAGACCATTTGTTTCTGGTGCTTTCCTCCTTTGGTTGCTCCCCAAATACCATTGGGTTGTTGCCCATTTAGCAGTGGAAGCAGCTGATAGTGATTGAATAATTGTGCAGTTGGATGTGTAAGAGAGTACTTGCTGTGTTGTTTTGTGCCTGATTGGATTAGCAGGGCTCTTTACATGGCTGATTGATGCAAACTTGATTTTCTCTCTGATGTTCCACTATTCACTAGAAATTCCCTTTTTGAATGGGAATTTTCTTGCTCCTGCAAGAAAATACATTTCTGGGTTGTTCAGATGAAATTGAAGCACACTAAACATCTGGATTTGAGTTGGTTAGTTTTTTTGGCCAAAAGCAAAACCAGAATGGGCTTGGAGGACAATGTCCCATCTAGTGCTGAGTTTTTATATTTTTTTATCAATCACCATCATGGGGAATGGTTCTTTAAAAATCAGTCAGCAATTTCATCAGCTGAATACGTGGTGGATGCTTCACTGAATTCTGGTACCAGGGCCTGCTTCCTAGAGGAGTTCCCACGCTGCCTTTCCCGGAGTATCCCTCATTCTCCTCCGAAGCATCTGTCCTTTGCAGTAGTGATCACGCCTTTTTACAGCAAAAGTTTCTCTCAAGGCCTCCCCGCTTCAGCTTTGCGGTTAATGAACACATTCAGCATTTAGATGCTCTCAGCAGGCTGAGAATTTGGGGACCAGGAAGACATGGTGAGAGCAGGGTGGGGGTACAGTGTCTGGATGGGGGTAGTACCTGGCATTAAGTGTGAGGCGCTGCCCTGCAGTGTGTGTCCTGCTGACAGATTTCTAAGGTCCTTAAAGAAAAACAACCACCACCACAAACACAGCGAACAATGTGTTATCTTTATTTATGGCAGTTTTCACTGCCTCCTTTTTCTCTCTTGCCCTGTTATCAGAAACAGCTTGCTCCAGAGTCAGTTTAAAACTCCTCCAATGTTTTCCTGGGCCCGTTGAGGACTTGAATTGCAACAACCAGCCTTGTAAACAGCAGCAGGCAGGGCAGACCCATGTGGGCTATAGAAAGCTCAGGGCTTCTTGCCTGTCCTGGCGATGATGTTCCAAGAGCAATCCATGACACTCAAGCGGTACAGCAGTCGCAAGCAGAGTTAGCATCCCACCGATGCATGCGCTGGCTTTCCTGCTGGGGATCTGAAATGGGCACAGACTGTTATTCCCGGGTCTAAGAGACAGCTGGGGACACGCTACAGCATCCCCGTCGCACATTGCCGCATCCCAGTGGCAATGCGGGAAGCATTTGCTTTCCACAGTTTTCTTGCTTTTTGTTTTAAGTTTTCTTTGTTGGTATTTCACGAACCAAACCATTTGAAAGGTGGACACAAAACGAAGATGAAGGAGTGTGTGTCTCAGACTCCATGCATTCAGCTATCAAATAGGTGTTAAGCCATCTCTGAGGACAACATCAAAGTATTTCTATAGCCAGTTCTCCCTCAGCAGTGATGCCTTAAAAGGAGTATTAGAAAAGCTCTCCGCTTGCTTACACTATATAGCCATAAGGAAAAGATAATAGTTGTCAGTACCGGGGGATCAGTCCTCTCTAAGTGACCCTTCAGACCTGAAGAAAATGCCATCAGTACCAATAATTTGGATATGGGCAAATTCATCTGTCACTGACGTGCATGCAAACATCTGGGACGGGAGTGTGAAGAGGATGAGTCCTTAGCTCATAAAAATAGCACCCTTGAACAGAACTAGTACAGTTCTCTGCTGCCTGAGTGGTTTGGGGCAAGGTAGTTATTTATGCTGCTGTGCATGCAGGTAGCTTTGCAGCATTTAACAGAAGCAGTCTGGGTGCGTATCAGCAGGATTTGGGTCTCTGCTGCGAGTTAATGGGCTGTTACGAGGCATTTCATATCAGAAAGAGCCACACTTACATGGTTGTTTCCCGAAAATAAACTGTTTGGCGTCCAATCTTAGAACATCTATTAATATTCGGCTTTTCATTTAAAACTGCAGTCTGAGACACCCACAGAAAAGCACAGGCTGCCTTGGTGCTTACCTTTTCTTGCACTGGCCAATCAACATAAATATTATGAGGCTACTCGACAAACTCAGAATGACTGGAATGAGGATAAATATCTGCTTGTCCTCTTTTCTGGACACTGCAAAGATAAATGACAGCAAATAAGAAAATGCTAGCTTCCAGAACATGGCGTATGACCTCTTAAAAAACTTAGGGCTCCAATGGAAACTCAGTGTGTCCAGGTTTGCTACCCAACATATTTATTTATTACAGATATGTGCCAGGTATATGTTACTGTACGGGGTAACATACTTCTTCAGGGTAACGTATAACCTAGCATCAGGGAATCACAGACTGGTTTAGGTTGGAAAGGACCTTAAAGATCATCTAGTTCCAACCCCCCTGCCATGGGCAGGGACACCTTCCACTAGACCAGGTTGCTCAAAGCCCAGTCCAACTGGACCTTGAACACTTCCAGGGATGGGGAATGCCATCCTGCATATATATGTAGCCACCACTATGTGCCTCTCCCCTGCTTTCTGCATCTTGCAGCAGAGACAGTGCACACGGGGACAGCCCTATAGAACCTGTGGGGTGCTGAACTGGTTTTAGGAGCTGATCTGTGGCACAGGGCAGCCAGGAAGATGCCCTGTGGAGAGACTCGGAGTACCAGGTGCCCTCTCTTGCAAAGCAGTTATTCCTCCATCACAAACATACTTTTTTAAAGGTGCTGGTGCAGCATATTAATATTTTGGGGCTTGCTTGCTAAGTGCACTGGAGACGCAAAGCTGTAGGAATGGCTGTGCTGGAGTAGGGTGAGGGTGTACCTAAACCAGGATCCCACCTCCAGGGCTGGACACCAGCACATACCCATGGTGCTTGGTCCCAGACAGGCATTATAAGGAATGTAAAAGAAACGCTGGCTACTTTGGGTTCCATACCAGAGAAACACTCCTGTGTCCATTCACTCCAAAAACCCTGGTCAGCACAGAAAATATTTGTTTTCCCTCTGACACGTACACATGAAACACGGCTTCGATTGGCTCTGGGAATTGTTAAAGCAGTCTCCATTGGGGTTGACACAGACTGAGAAACAAAACAGAGAGAACAAATGTCAAGGAATTATGTGCCATCACCACTAGTTCTCTGGCATGGCCTCATGTTTCTGAACATACTCTCCAGGCTCTACAAACCCTCGGGTTATGTTTTGGCACTTTTAAATGGTTTTGTAGTAGTTTTAGACCAGCTAATGCCAGTAAGGTTATTATGGAGACAAATCCACTGAAAATACATACAATCTGGGAGGCCCCATCACGTATGTTGCCATTTACACCTGTTCATTTATGGAGTCTTTCATTAAATTAGCCAAGAAGATTCATGTGTAGAAGATGGAAATTAAAGAAAAAAATGTCCTTCCAATGTCTCCTGTGATTAGTTCTTATCATTTTTCCTATCAAAACAGTACCTGGATAACACACAAGGAAAAAACCACCATGTGTAAAACACATGTTGTGTCCCAGGCCGCTTCTTTGGAAAGACAGGAATCACAGTTTCATTGGACCAAGTTCTGCCATCACATGCAGGAAAACCACCACAACAACCTGTCAATTCCCACGATGACAGCTTTCCAGGATAACAGGCAGGAAGCCTAAGAAAGCCATCATTTGGAGAGTCACGCTGGGGTCTGGTACAGCTAAAGCAAATGCTGTGGCTGGGGGTCGGGGGGTTAAGTAGGAACATGTGCAACAGTGCAGCCGGTCGGGTGTTTTCCACCGGCAGCACCAGCTGACATCCCTGCACAGCCTATGCACAGGGTAGCTAACAGGCCATCCGCAATTTTCCAGCGTGCCTGCCCGCTGCCGGCCATCAGCAGGGCTCCCCTCCTCTCCCCGTGACACGGTGCGTGTTGTCCCTACCGTCCAGGCAGCCGTGGCTTCCCCCTCGCCTTCTGCCAGCTGAACCTCGTACTGCAGGCACTGGGGGGGCGTTCCACCCCCCGGTGGGCTCCATGCCACGTGGAGCTCCTCGGACGCAGACATGGAAACCACCAGCTGCTTTGGGGGTGAGGGCTTTGCTGAGGGGGGACCAAAAAGAGACAAGGTCAAGAGGTGCAATCAAACAGCTCCTGGTGGGAAAGGCTTCGGTTAATCCCTGCCAACCTCTGCCCCTTTTCCCCATTGAGGGGGTTGCTGAGCTCCCATTGCCATCAGCCACGCTGCTGCAGGAGCAGGGATGGCACCGAGGCTGGCGGGCAGGTTGTTTATTTTAACTTGACACGCGGGCTGTGCTGTGTCCTCGCTCTGGGCTGCTCTGCAGGGGTTTTGAAACACTGTGGAGCAAGCGTTGTGCTCAGCCCGTTCCCGTCGCAGGGCGGCCAGCCTGGCTTGTGCTGCGAGGGCAGCCTCGGCCCCTCCAGTGGGATGCCACAGCGCGGTTGGCCTGACTCTTGCTGCATCCTAGGAGAGGCCCTGGTTTACGTCAGATGCCCAAAGCCATACGTCAAGCACATGGCAGCACTAACTGAATCCAGAAATCCTGCTTATTAGCCCAGTGGCTTCACTGGAGGGCTATCCCCTGAGACTTATGTGTGGTTAAATGCATCCACGTGGTTAGTGCCCAGGACAGCGAGGGAGTACATGTAACAGGTTATGCACCGTGCTGTACTTTGCTTCTTTTCCCTCTCTCTGATGGGTTTGAAACCCACCTTTGCTCTGGCAGATCCTATCACACCTTGCACCCGATTCTCCTCAGCTTGGTTTGAACAGCAAAGCCCAAATCTCTCTCGTGCTTGCAGGAGCGGAGCAGCGGTTTCCAGCAGGAGCAGACAAAGCCACCACCGTGGCAGTGCTGCTAGAGCCAAAAAACCCATAGCTGCTCTGTCACCTGCCCAGCAGACCTTTTATATCCCAAGCTGTCCAGCTGCCGAGCGCAGCACTCACTGACCCTCCAGTGTGGGTGCTGAGTGGCGTTGCTCGCCTGCAAGCGCTGCTGCAAACTAAAGTCCCGTGGGTCACATGCCCCACAGCCCCTTCTCCGGGGTGAAATCCACCCAGGCGCGTTACAGCCACCCATCGACAAGAGTGCGCATTTGTTTGAGCCCCCTTGGGTGTGTCGTGGCTGTGCGGGTCCCCCGAGCCC